GGCATGAGAACATGACTTATTAGAGACCATTTTATGTAGTTGGTCCTAGACAGACAAGCAAGATGAGAGAATTCAATTAATCTTCTCATTCTTGCATTTTTGGCGACAGGCCAGCCACAGCATGGTCAGTAGGCAAAGGGAGTGTGATAGGCTAGCACCCTCAGCATTACTAACTTCCACAGAGGGTATGAAGTAAGGCTGGACCAGCCCGAACCCCACTCTGTACTGGCCAGCAGAGCCTAGTGGTGCACATGTGTAGAAGCATAATGATGCACCCACTTAAAAGATGGCAGAATTCTTGCTGTAGTGTACGCTGTGGAGCCCCAGGAGGAATTCTGTCTGAATCAACCACAATTCTTCCTCTGGCTTCTGTTAACAGCCTAGCCCCCTCCAGCTATACAGATACCCCCAATGTGGGATTGTGCCTTTAAGGCACAATCTGGCCCTGAAGGTATGTGACTTTTATATGAAATATATACAATGCATCTTCAATTACCCAAAATTATCATCTGAAACAAGATCATGTCTTTTGACGTCTGTTAATTACATTGAAAATCAAAAATTTTAATCAAAATCAAAATTGTAGTTTGTAGATGAATATTTCACAAATTAATATTTACATTATGGGCACAATGGTCAAAAGTGCCTAAATCCCTTTTTCAGAAGTGACTTGGCCCCTGTCTGTATAAAGAAAATAATCAAACTATTTTCAGATAATATTAAAAGCCAGAGACAAATCTACACAAGCCTGGTATGTTTACTGTTAAGAATGAAACGTCATATATCCATCCAGGCACTGTAGAATGGAACAAATCAGAGTAGTGCCAATGTATTGGAGGCTTACTCATTAACAGTCATCATCAATACTTCATAAGCTAGTCTCAAACTGGTTTGTTTGAAAGAAATTTAGCTTTGTGACTGAGTATCTTTGTATAGTTTATGCGCACACACCTACTGTACATGATTTTTTTCCTTATGTAATCAGCCTTGCAGCTAAATGCACATAATCTTCTGAATACATCAGCAACAAAGAGCAAACCAGGGAGAAATCAATTTTCCCAACGAGCTAATCTCTCAGAGAGTACAGGATGAAATTGAAATTTAACATCCGCCACTAATAGTCACATTATAATCACCTTACATTCCTTCTTCACAAATCCTGTGGTGGGAGGGAGAGAAGGTTGCAGTCAGATTTGTCCAGAAATGGAATTATATGGTATTATCATGGGATGTCTTTCCAGGCTTGTTCAACAGAGAATAATTCAGGTCCATCCTTGGAGGAGGAAAAAATGAAACCTCTGCCTTTTAAAGTTGTGCTCTCACTGAGCAGAGAGGTAGGAATGACAATGCAGGTTAGAGCTCCCATGTGCCATTGCTTTACATGTAAAACTCATAAGCATTTCTTACATACTTTCCTCTATCTAATTTTCCAGGCCATCCTGCAGTGGCTGGAACATTTATTTTAATCTTTTGACTCTCTAGGTCTTTCAGGGATTTGTGAGGCTTCTGATGGCTTCTTTCATGGTTTCTGCACATCTTCCGGTGGTGGAAGAGGGGTGGGTTAGCTGCCAAAATTATTGCCCTGAAGTCTCCTGTCTGAAGATCAAGAGGCTTTCTCTGTACAGCTCTCATTTCAGTGCTGAGTGCATGTATCGTTTCCGGCTGTCTGGATCTCAGACCCACCTGACAGGTCGTTTCTCTAGCTGAGAGAGACACCAATTACTGCTCTGTCCTTTGCTTCTTTTTTCTTTCTACTTTTCCCCTAGCCACACCCCCACTTTTTAAACAATGATTGCTAAATTCATAAGTTTTACCCTTTCTTTTTGCTCTTTTCTGCCGTTATTTCTCCTTTTCTATGTAAAGTCTCTCCTCTGCCTCATTTTTCAAGTAATCTTTTTATTTTTCACCTTTTCCCCTTCCTGCCTTTCCTTTTAATTGCCACTTTCATACCCCCACCATGTCTGTTTGTCCATCTCAGAGGATTCCCTGTCCCCAAGTATTAACTACTGTATTTCTTCATGACTTCATAAAGGAATTACACAACAGTTTTCCAAGCAGTGTTGGTGTTCTGCCAGTCATTCCCCATGTAAACATTTTAATGGGATCTTGCAACTGGTATACAGCAACCAGTACAGAAACTACAGCACGATGAAGTCCAATGACCAGGTGCTAATGACAGCATGGAAACGTCCTACATTTAGGTATAAATTCACATGGGGCTGCCAGCCTTCTTAGCTCAGCATAGAATTGACTCAGGGGAGAGCTGTAAAATAGGTCAAGTAGGATAAACCCTCTCCAGCTCTGTCACACAATTCCAATAGCTGTACTATTCCATCACTCTGAAAATCTTACTGGTATGGTTGTTTTTTTCCCAGATGGTCTCCCTTTTTTTCCCCATTTCTTAATCCAGTGATGATTATTAGAAGGAAAACACTAACATGGGTCCAGGCAATGAGGTACAGGATAGCAAGAGAGGATTTCCACATCTGGATTTATTCAGAAGTGAGGATGACTCTGCTTGAAACCAGTATTGCACTAGATCTGCATATAAAATGGAGGGAGGGGGAAATGGGATCCTGCCCCGCTAAATAAATGCTGAGATTTTTAAAGGGCATTAAAATATAAGGTTAAGATTTTAACTGGTGAAAATCTGCTGTTTTATGATGGTTCTTTTGACATGCCTTCTGCCCTCCCTGTCTGTCCCCTCCTCCCCCCCCACACACACCCCTTCCCAGGAGCAGCAGCAGATCACTGACATTGTATTCTGGTCTCCATTCCTTCACAAAGGAATCACAGTGCAGTATATGGAGGAGAGCTGGGTCCCCCTGGTGAGACTACAGCAGAATGCACTGAGGACTTTAAGATGTAATTACCTGCCTTCAGTTGCCTTATTTTTACCTCTACCTTAGCTACTGCCTGTTATGGTGACTGTACTCAGTGGTACAGATCATTATCACTTTTGACTTCCAAATACATTAAATTGTTTTAGTTTGCCATGAGGCATTCTTCCTGAAACTTGTAAATGACCCTTTTACTCACATGCAAAACAGATTTTTTTCAAATATTGAAGCTGTGACATAACCCTTCCAAAACTAGGAAATTCAGAGTTAAGACAAATCCTTAGTTCTTTCTGTAATGTCTAAGTATTGCAACATACATACTGTGTAAATATCCTGCTTTGATCCCAGATATTTGCAGTGCTTGGACACAACAGAACAAGTTAAGAATGTAGTGATCATTCTGAAAGTACCTAAGCTTTATAACCCTATCTGTTGAAATATAGTAAATGAGATGCAGTGATGGTTGAAGAAGGCTGCGTAGGGCCCAGGAGGTTGAGTGACAATACGATCATAGCTGTAGAGAAGGAACTGGCACTAGATTTGATTCAGCATGAGAAATAATGGGCAGTGTCACGGGGTCACCCACCACACTGGCACCACCTGCTGGACGTTTCGGGAATTAGCTCAGTCCCAGCAGGTGCACCCTTGGGTGGGTGGTGGCTATCCCATCCCTGCTTCCGCCTGCAGACCCATTACAACTCCTTTCTCTTGGCGTCTGCTTCATGGCACAGCCTTCCGGCCATGTCACCATCCCGTTCCTCCCCCCTGCTTTCCGGGGGACTCCTCCAACAAGAGTTCAGCCACTCCTTGCAGCGGCTCAGCAGTCCACAGCCGGGCTGCTCCTTCAGCAGCTATTAGGGGGGGTGGAGGGGTGGCGCGCAGGCCTGCCCACTGCTCCAGGCCCTGGCCCAGGGACCCTGCAAACGGAAGCTTTCTGCTGCCTCTTCCTTCCAGCCTACTATCTCTATTCCCTGGGCCACTTTCCTGTAGCCTCAGTTCCTTCTGCTCCTACCTCTGGCTCCAGCTCCTTTGCCCTCTTCCCAGGGCCTCGAGCCTGTAAATCCTGGCAGCCTGCCAGGAGCCCTCTACGAAGCCAGTTTTCTCCCTGCAGCAGACTCTCTTGTGCTGGTCTGCAGCTTCCTTTTATATGGGCTGGCTGGGCCCTGATTAGCTGGTCCAGCCTTCGCCCTAATTGTCTGCAGCCTCCACCCTAATTGGCTGTTTCCCCTGCAGCCACATCTTTGGCTGCCTGCCGCTCAGCCTCGCTAGGCTGATTTTAACCCTCACAGAGCCAGTGTGGGGCAGGTGCCCCATCACAGGCAGGAATAGTGAACTCAAGAGCAGAAGCTCAAAATAAAGGCGGTTATAATAATATATGGAGATATACTTATCTCCTAGAACTGGAAGTCCAGCCCCCTGCCTTCACTAGCAGGACCAAGTACTGATTCTGCCCCAGATCCATAGGTGGCCCCCTCAAGGACTGAACTCACAACCCTGGGTTTAGCAGGCCAATGCTCAAACCACTGAGCTATCCCTCCCCTTGTAGGATAGGAAGTCTTTGATACATGTTAATACAGCATTTAATATGGCAGGGTGTGGAATTTTGCTTCCCCACTTCAGAGATCTAACAGGATCGTGCTAAGATGGTTTCACTTATATCTCTGAGACAGTACCCAGAGAGTCACGATGAGCACTTGCTCGTCCATCTCCAGAGTTCTCAGAGAGATCTCACCTCCATTTCTCATATCTTTTTTCAATACAAATCTATATAAAGCAAGAAGGAGAGATTGTGAATCAGCGTGGACTAAAATGCCAGATGTTTACAGAAGACACCCAGCTCTACATTGCCTTCACATCAGATACAAATAGCACAGTCTCCCAGCTGTCCTGAGCTTGGTTGAGTTCAGCAGTTGATTGAAGCCAAAGCCTGAAAAGACTGAGGTGATGCAAATGGAGTGGGAAGTACTTCAGAGAACTCACAAACTCTCTTAACCTCATCTTCCATTGAGGGCATCTGCCTTCATATTAATACAGTACATAGTGTAAGTGTTCACCTTGACTCCTCACTGTTTTTGAATACCTGAATAGCTACCGCCACCCAAAATCCCCCTTTTCCATCTATGGCTGATTAGATGGAACCCCCTTCTGTTTTGTTTGGACTTAGCCACCGTGATCCACAGCAACTTCTGGGTTTGCTTATTGTAATTTTCTGTACCTGGGGACAAAATGCCAACCTTTGTTAAAGCTACTTTTAGTTCAGAGCCTAGCAGTCCATCTGCTCTCCAATGCAGAATGCCAAGATCACGTGACCCCATTTCTCATTCTCTTCTCTGAATGCTGAATTAAATTCAAGGTTTCAGTCCTTGTCTTCAAAGCCATCTTTGGGACTGGACCGAGTTAACTTGGGGACTTCCTAACTCTGTGTGATCAATGATTTCCATGGACAGCTATGTTCCACTGGAAAATGGAACGGTCAGACCTAAGAATGGTACCTGGTTGCAAAGAAGATGGCGCTTTCTCGATGATTGGCCCCCAAAAAACTGAAACTTGCTCCTGGAAGAGAACCAGTATGACCATGAATCCTTGTCTTCCTTCTGAGTGAAATGCAAAACCTAAGCCTTCCCACGGCATCACGTTTTAAAAAAATCATTTTTCTTGCATGCCTTCTGGTTTTTAGGAACATTTTTTCCTTTATTTCTTTTTTTAAAATGTGATGTTATTTTGGGTAAGCTCTACCAAAGAGATGGGTTTGGCATTTCATTCTGAAGCTGCTGAGGTTCATGGTTAACAAGATCTCTTCCCGGAGTGAGTTTCAGCTTTGTAGGTAATCTCATCTTAAATCCTTCTATTTTTATAAATCCGTATGTCTTTTTCTTTGTTGTCTTGTCCTCCTCACTTCCATTTTCCATCTCTCCCTCCCTTATTTCCCTTTTTTCTCTTGACCCTTTCCTGTTTCCTGAGCTTTCATCTCCATTTTTCACAAGGTTTTCTGAAATAGGGCAAACAATGTGGTATCTGTTAGTTGTTGTATATTCCAAGGTGAGATTTTACAGTGGATGGATTTGCTAGTAGGAATAAACCAGGCAGCTTCTGGGCCAGTCACAAGTAGTCTGTGTTTACTCTTTCTAATCTCTTGCTGCAGCCACCTCCTAAACTTGGCCTTGGTATACTCACTTCCCTTTGTCTCATCCATTAAGATCCATGCCTTTCATGCAGGTTTTCTTCTTCTCTTCACCACAGGTGCACTCTGAGAACAACCTCACTTTTGGATGTCAGTGGGGTTTTTCCTGTTTGTGAAGGATCTCTTAATTCCCTCTTGCCTCACATTCAGACAGCACAAGCTGATCACTTGATTGGATAGGTTCTCTGCCTCCTCCTCCTCACGATATACCTATTTGGAGTACAGCAGGTTGAATTAGCCAGCTAGCATGATACGTTAATGCCAAAAACATTTCAGTCCATGTAGTAGCTTTACTGTCTTTCTTTTTCTGATGGCTACCATTTGAATTCCACTTGTATGATATATATTACTTGTTATCTAACTGTCTGTACTGGGCTAGCTTGATTATCACTTCAAAAGTTTTTGTTTGTTTGTTTGTTTGTTTGTTTGTTTGTTTTTTTTTCTCTTAATTAATTGGCCTCTCAGAGGTGGTAAGACAACTCCCACCTGTTTATGCTCTCTGTATGTGTGTATATATATCTCCTCAATATATGTTCCATTCTATATGCATCCGAAGAAGTGGGCTGTAGTCCACGAAAGCTTATGCTCTAATAAATTTGTTAGTCTCTAAGGTGCCACAAGTCCTCCTGTTCTTCTTTTTGCGGATACAGACTAACACGGCTGCTACTCTGAAACCTTTCATTACAAACTCTGTCTCCAGAATTCCTTGATAGAATTAAACCTGTGTATGAGATCTGTTATGTACATGTATACATACAATTAAAGCAACAAAGATAGACCTACAGTATACCAAATTGTGATAAAGATATTGGGATGTATCTTGCTGAGACAGGGTGACCTTCTAAGAGGAGTGGATAGTGAGACATTGCATATGGACTTTTGACTGTACATACATTTCAGATTTTTACTATGGGCTAGATTTTCAGTTGTTGGCCACCTCTTTTTTGTGTGCAAAATTGCAAACATGCATGGACACTAATCTTTGCATGCACCCTTTAAATGGTGTAACACCCTAGTTAATTGAAATGTTAGTAATTGCACCCAGAAAATCCATTAAGGTCAATGGTGTTTTTGAGTGCAAATGCTAACTCTTACATGCACATTGCTGTTCTACTGTTGCAAATGAAATAACAACTGTGCACATGCAAGTGATAGAAATTTCTAATAGGGTGATCACCTGCAAGTGCTCCCATTAACCCAAGTTAAGGCTGAATAGAGGCCCAGCTGAAAATCTACTCCACTGCTATTGCATAACTTATTTATACAATGCTTTAAAACTTTTTTTTAACCACTCACCAATCTAATGGCAGCTTTCACTAACCTCTACTATGTTTATTTGGCTCGGGGACAAGAAAGGATTAAATATTGTCAGAGAAGGGAGAGACTTATGGCTTTTTCCAGGCAGCTATTGCATTCAAACAACATAAGAACATAATGGCCATTCTGGGTCAGACCAAAGGTCCATCTAGCCCAGTATCCTGTCTTCCGACAGTGGCCAATGCCAGGTGCCCCAGAGGGAATGAACAGAACAGATAATCATCAACTGATCCATCCCCTGTCGCCCAATCCCAGCTTCTGGCAAATAGAGGCTAGGGACACCATCCCTACCCATCCTGGCTAATAGCCATTGATGGACCTGTCCAACAGATTAACGTACATAAAATTCACCAGCAATGGACTACAAATGAAAAACTGCTGCTGTACTCTAGTAGTGCTGTGTACAATGTTGTTCTCTCCAAGTTATTAACTACTGCTGAGTCAGATGTTAAGACACTAAAATCAGTTAGCTTACTGTTTTTTAAATGGCACTGTAAAGAAATCATGGAACTGGACACCAAACTTTAGTCTTCAACAAATATTTAGAAACAGATTTAAAAGTTTAATAAAAGAAAAAGGATTTTGGGAACAAAACATTCTTTTTTAGGGTTTCCCCTTCCCCCATGTGCATCTGGGGTTCGAAGTATTCATAGACCTAGATATAGATACTCTCACCTTTCCATTAGAGTGCAGTATTCTCTTCACCGTGGTATCTGAGCATCTTTATTTAATCATATCACAGAACTTTGTTCCAAAACTTTACCTTCTTCCAGGTTTCTCTGAAAGGAATTTTTATCACTGTGGCTTTGTGCTTCATTGTTGTATCTAGTTTCTTGCATGCTGCACTTCATTCAAATACTCATTACTTGTCATTCTTGTCACAGTTTGTGCACTGATATCGGTCACAATGTTTTTAAGCCCTCTTCTAACTTCCACGCTCTACCTTTTTTTTTCTCTTCATCTGTTCCAATATAACTTTCTCCACTCTGTGTATTAAAGTGGGTCTTCATGCTAAAGACCTAGAATCCTAGAGATACAAAAGCCATATTAAGTCATCTAATCCATTTCCCTGCAGGTACAATATTGTTCCCTTTAGAGAAGCAGCATAGACTAAACTAAGCACAATACTGTCAGCCAGAAATACCAAAATGCTAATCCTACCTCTGTGACTTATTTGCTGTCTGGTCTTGGACATGTTCCTTAACTCTCTGTGGAGCACTTAACTCTTCTCCCTTTTATAGGCATGGAGCTCTCCTCTCTTCAGGCTGAGGGTAGGCAGGATGCAGAAAGCTTTTCTATTGTGTGCACGGCCTTAAGCACTAGCACAGCGCTTTGAAGGCTCACTGATCACTTTAAAAGGGGGGGGGAGGGAGAAATGGGGGCGTGGAGTTCAGAGCAGAGCATTTGTCCCCATGTCTATGCCCCATCTGAAAAATAGGGATAGCAATACTTACCTACCTTGCATGGTGAATTAAGGTTTGTTTCTGTAACCCTGTGCTCGAGCAGAGAGTAGTACTTACATGCAATTAAACCCATTGAGGTCACTGAGTCTAATTATGTGAGTACTATTCAGTACAAGTAAAGATTGCAGAATTGGGTCTTCACTGTGTCTAAAGTGTTTCTATGATGTAAAAGTACTATAGGACTACTTAATAGTATTATATTTCCTAGTGTTTCCTCTCATAACACAATACTTGTAGGGTTTTTTGTATTGTCTACTTAAGCACTTGATACTTTTGGCCATGGTTTCCCCGACTCATGCCTTTTGGAAACCCAGGTATGAATCTGTTTTGGAGTTTGAGTTCAGAGCTCAGCTCTTTCATCTTTCCTATGATGAGATGATATTTTGCTCTTTCTCTCCCTCTCTTTTAGTCCTTAATATGTCTTTGTGTGTATGTATTAATAGTTGCCTCCTTGAACAGCTGGAAAGTATCTGCTTAAGGTGTTAGTCTCATTATCCAGTTTGTTTTGTCAGTTTTTGTCAATAAATAAAGGCAGGTGTTTGATTTTGATTTAAAACATTAACATCATAATGTTGGTCTCTTGTAATACCTGACAGTACAAGGAAATCAAATGACACTGTACAGAGCACAAGGAGAGCAGAACAGCAGTTTATCACTTACAGCCCCTCTGCTTGTAAACTTTCTGTTCACGTGTAAAATGCAGGGAGAATATTTGCCCTTTTTTCATTGTATACATGTTAGATTAGCAAAATAATGTGTCATATTTGTATATATGATGCTCACTGGAAGTCTATAATATATATATCTACAGTTGAGTATATATGTATATAATGTGTTCTCTGTATAAAGAGAGGCAGTGAAAGAGAATATTAACTATAATGAAGTCATGAACCCAGGCGCCCGCTATAGGCATCTGCAAACACTGGTTACCCTGGCAACAAGTGGAAAGAGGTTGGAGAGGAAAGCTGGAGTAGGTTGTTGCACTGAATTGTTTTCAGCTTGTTTCTTCCTCACTAAAGCAGGGAGATGTTGAAAGGTATGATGTGCCTCTTTCTATTGTGTATGTTATATTATGTATAATAGAGAGCTGTTGGGAAGGGGTACGCTAAAATTTTATCTTATTCAGCTCCATTTTGCTCAGACAGACATGAACTTTTCTATTTAAATATTAACATAAATTTTCTATGTTGCAAATCTGTGTTTTCCCTTTGTGCTTACAGTTTGCAAGTTGCACTATAGTGTTTGAGTGCCAGATAAATCTCTGAAGTACTGTATCTGTCCCATCTTCTGCCCAGGGACTGGTGGCTATTGCATCTCCTCTTAATGTCTTCAAAAACTGATTTTATTTTGAAGCTGGATTTGTAGAACTAACATTTGCAAATGTACCAGGCTCGTACCAGTACTGTGTGATATAGAAAGATCTAGTTGAATAGGACTAAAAATGAGCTTCTGAACACCTCTAGACTGTGCTGTATCGATTTCCTTGTGCTGTTGTGCTGATGCAGAATATTGTAGCTCATGACTTAGTGGAGTCTCTGCCTCCCTGGGGAAAGTTTTTATAAGCTGAACTAATACATTATGTTTGTCGGGGCTGTAACAGTGTCTTCCACAAAGGCAAGTATCGGGATATTTTCTTCAGAACCTGTTTTAGATGGATAGGAGAAAATTGAATTGCGTGTGTCTTTTTGTGTTTATCCTTCAGTCTCTTGCTTTTTCTGTCTGTTCAAGGAGAAAGAAATGTAGTGAATAACTTCCCATTATATTGAAGTGTCATTGGTACAAATTATGACAGGGACATTTGTATATATATGTGTACACATCTGTGTGCAGTGAGACCACAGGTTAAGTGAATTTTTTTGGTATTTTGTTTGTAAATTCAGTTTTTAAACTTAGGAAAAAAAGATGTTGCTCTTAAGTAACCGTGGCACAAAACATCATAGTCACAAGAGAATAAAGAGTCTCAGCCAATATAGGGGCATAATTCAGTCACTGGGCATTTAACACCTCTGAGAGTAGAGTTATTGATTGATTAACTTGACATTGGCTCCTCGTTCTGGTAGTCTGGAGCATTCATTACAATATTATATTAACAATCGCTGTTTCCAGAAAGGTCTCAATACAAATTCATATTTAGAGTTATCAGATTTATGTCCTTTCATTTGTATTCTCTTAAGAGTGAAAGGGAGCTGGCAAATTAAATCTGATTTTATTCAAGTGAAATCTAATCTTACTCTGTAAAACTAGATATACAAGACAAATTCAAAAGAAATTAATAAAGCAAATTATTGAATATGGGACAGGTACACGGATAGACTATGTATATTTCAAGCTAGCACCATTAGGCTAAAATTTGATTGCTCAGAAGACCCAATCAATCAGGTCACGTGACAGTCTAGTTAGAATCAAAATATAGCAAATCAGTCCAAACAATGAAATACCTTATAATCAAATAAAGCAAATAATCAGCATTAAAGGGTAAGTATTCAGTCATTAGGCAATAACAGAAATCACAGCTTTTAATGTGAATGAGTGGTAAACTTTAATTAGTTGCTGAATTATTAAGCCCCTGATATGGCTTAGCAGTCAGTTACATGTGATTTCTTCTTAGGTTACACTTTAGTTACAGGATTTACAGCACACTCATATTTAGTATTTTATCTAATGAAAGTAACAGTAGATGGCAAACCTCGGTGAATAAAGACCACTTTATGCTTATCCCAAATTCTTAAAATCTGTCATCTGAGATGTTGCAGCAGCAAGGTGGAATTTGATAGCATGGCTGTTGTACAGGATAATCCCCCAAAATCGTCATTGTTCTCCTGCTTCTCTTTTGGGGAGGTGTAATGTTCCTTCCTCTCTACCTCAGAGTCAGAAGAATTTTTTTGCAATCATTTGATTCTGGAAGTCTAGGGTGTCTAGCCCATAACATATCCTCAAAGGCCAGCAGTATATAGTGCATTCATCCTGTCTTCAGTCCACTTCAGGGCTGTTGTTCTTTTGGTACACAGCCTCTGGTACTCTTGTTTATTGTTAAACCATACTTACACCTGGTGTAGAGTGAATCCAAGGTAGCAGGCATCAGTTTAGGTGACATTTCTTTTTTTATGACCAATTAACATTTGCAAGTGCAATATTTTCACACCATCTGACTTGGTAAACTTATTCTCACCAACTGTGTTCAAGAAATTTAGGAAATGTAACTCATTAAATAATTCTACCTAGATAAGGAACCCCAGGTTAGCTAGGTATTCCTTTTAATAGAGTTGGCAGGTTCTTCAGCCATAAAACCTTCCTTTCAAACTCCTGCTGCAAAGGCAAGAATTAAGCAGCAGAACATCAGAGTAACAGATGGTGAGATCTTAGCTACGTTGGATGGAGATGGAAAAGTGGTTTTCTCATTGCAAAAATACTGTTTTCTCCAGAAATGGTGGCAAGTTGAAATATATATTCCTTGGGTAGTAAGCATTGTTATCAGTTAGTGAATCTAAGAAAGCTAACAGTTATTTCAGCCTGTCCTTTCCAGAAAGGACTATGATTAGGATCTTATGGTAGTCAGTGAAAATTATACTACTCATATAAAATATGCAGTCCTGGCCTTGGAATTTATGAAAATTGCATTCAGTTAAATATTTTTCTAATATAAATTAGCATGGGTATGTGTGGGGGTGGAATAGAGAGAAAGAGAGTGTGCAAACCAGTACCCACAATATAAGGATTTGAGCTGTATGTGTATATACTTTTGAATACCAGAATCTGGGAATTTCACAATGTGTTAATTAAAAAAACGCATTAGTAAAACTACAGTAGATAATTCTTTGTCTCCAAGATAGATAAGCCAAGCTGCTGCTTCCACTGTGTCTTGGCACTCATAATAAATAACCTTATAGCTTGCTTTAAGGAGGTTTTTAATATAGTATGTATCTTTTGTCACCAATAATCAGACACAGATCTCTTGGATCAGTGCTGGCATGGCACTCCAGCCAACTATTCTACTTCTGCATTGTCTGTGTAATAGTGCTTATGACAGGAGTTCCAATCCCCAGGTCTCAAAAGTTGTGATCACATATACACATTTAGGGAATTCACTTGGCACATGGATGCGGCCTTTGCATATGCGAGAATTATTTATCACGCAGTGTTCCATCCAACTTTTAAAAATGCTATGTTTTTAAAGGTTTCATGAAAATCTGTGCTTTAATTGATGGTACCAAGTGTCAGAATTGTAATGTTGCCACTTTAAATTGCCAGTATTTAATTTCAATCATGCTGTGGTTGAATAGTGGCAGAGTAACGAAATGCCCACCAGTTGTAAAATACACACAAAATAATTAGAATTTAAGCGATTTTCTAATCCCTTTCTTATCTGTGAATTATCTTTCGTTAATGAAGAGGAGGAGGAGCTGGAAGGACCTTTGGAAGGGCTTGGATTTCAGCAGCAAGAGTCCCGACTTTGCCAGCAGATGAAAATGGCTACTG